CCTTCGGGCCTTCCCAGTGCAGATCCTTGATACAGACTTGCACAAGACATTGCGTGGACTCTAGGTCTTCAGCTGGACGCATGCAGGACATTATGATGAGATCCAGGCCCTCAACTAGATTCTTTGGGTCTCTACTGTGTGGATAGATCTCCTGCACTCTTTCGCATTTACCTATTTGGATGACTATTATAAAGCAATCCTATAACTTATGTGTCCTGTATTAATCCTTTCTCTTGTAAACCCTCACTACAACAGAATATTCAAGCTTCTTTCAACTTTCTCTGCCAGTCATGGGTTTTCTTTTACTCTGCACTTTATAATAAGGGTTTAGGAAAGTTTTAGTAGTGCTATGAAAGAAAACATAAAAATACTCCATTAATTACACATTTTGTGGAGTTTCTTTACATTTTCATTTTGGTTCTTACTCTTTGTCCCCTCCCTAGCCATACAATCCTGGGTTGTGCCTAAGGTAGTGGATCATATAGAAGTCCTAGGTAAGCTGCAGCAATATAACTAAATACGAATTACTGAAATCCAGTTGAATAATTCAGCAAATTGTACACAGTATCTTCTCTGTGCAAACACTGTAATATATGTTTAAAATTTATAATATCACAGGTTAAATAAGAAATATTCAGGGAGGAGATAAAAGTTTTGTGTTTGCAAGCTCAGGATATGTGATCAGAACACTATTACTGACAGAAAAGTGAATGTACTCCTGGGTTGGATTTAAAAATATCTGGAATATAGACCAAAGATGGTAAGATTGTCCTAACCTACTGTATTTTCTTTTATATTCTTATATTCTTTTATATTCTTATATTTTCAAATCTGGCCTATGGACCTAGACTCAGCACAATTGCAGCCATCCAAAGGTGTGTCCAGAGAGACAGAGGAGCTGAAAACAACACGGTATTAAATGTTTAAATAATGAGGATTTAGCCAGAAATGTGAATGTATGTGAGCAACAAGAGGAAGAACTACTATAGCATATCACCAACTGAAGAGAAAATTAAGGCCCCTATGTTGCTCTTATAAGAGGTATGCTTGGGCTTGGGAATGAAGAAGATTTAGTTCATGAGGATTTTAATTTACTATTATTAGAAGATAAATAATCAAAGTCTTCAGGCCAGGGATATAGTTCAGCAGCACAGTACCTGCCTGACAAGAACAAGGTCCTGAGTTCGATTCCCACTACAAAAAAAAAAAAATTAAAGTCTGTCATGGTTCGTGTCTGGATGTCTCCCCAAAGCCAAATGCAATCATGGGGTGGGCTTCTAGAGTTTATAACTGATTCACGGTCCAATGTTGGGACTATGGGTGTTAGTCCTACACCTGCCCTGAGGTGGTTAGTTTGCTACAACGCAGGGGAGGCAAAGAGGCTTGCTTTTGGCCACTCCTCCCTTTTTGCTCTTGTTGATTTGCTGTTTTCCACGGCCATAACTGTTGCCCTCTGCCATGTGCCACCCTGCCTTGCAGCCAGCTGAGTATGGACTGAAACCTCCACAAACTGTGAGCTAAATAAACCTTTCCTTCCTTAATTTTGGGTGTTGATCATTTTGTCCTAGCAACAGGAGAGAAGTAACTAAGACAAAGTCTTCAATACTGGATAAGGTATTGAATTAGAATATATTTAAGGTCTTCCCAAATTTGAGTCTGAGTCAAGTATATTAGCTTATATGTCATGTGACTATGGCTATGGAACAATAAGCCCTACAGAAATAAAATAAAAGGGTTTGGCAGAGGAAATAATTTTTCATAGCAAATGTGCCATTTGAAGTGATACTTGAATGGCAGCACTTTAACTGTAATGGTGGTTACCTCGAGTAATTGCTAAGTACTTTAAGTATATTGGAATTGCAATTATACACAATGCAACTTAGGTTTGAAAAGGTAAAATTTTCATTTTATGTCAAACTTATGTGGTCATGAAATCTCACTTATTGAGAAAGAAGAAATGGTGGTTTTGGTCAAATCTAGTCAGTGTTTTAATCAGTTTTTTGGATAAAGTTCAAACTTATTAGGTTAAAGGTTTTCCCATTTTTCCTCCAGCATCATATTTTAGATGATATTTAGAAACATCAGGGGAGGAGAACCTCACTTAACTTGAGGGATGTGGCCAAAGGGTTGGTTGAATGGTGTTTTCCGTCTATTCTGGTGTCTGAGGTAATATCCCTTTGTATGTCTACAGACTTCTGTTCTTTCACTTGAAGTGGGAAGCTAGAGACATCATCTGCAATCTCAGACCAGTCAGGTTCCAGTTCTCGTTGACTGATCAGTCTGATTTATTTAGGACCTTAGATATCTTTGTTGTGAAAGGTCCACCGAACAGTTTTTGCTAAAGCACCACACTGCTTTTTAAAAGACTGACATCAGGGTTCATGGCAGGTCAGCTCTCTGTCAACTCTGTTACCTACGGAGCACAAAGGAACTTTCAGCAGTGAGGGAGAGTAAACTCCTAATCTCTCTCTGCATAACCATGATGCCCTGCTCAAGGTTATTTGAACGCAGTGTCCTCTCAAAAGTATAAGCATTGGTGCAGAATTTCACTGTCCTTGAGTTTTCCCACACTAATCTGGGTATTTCTAAGGCCACAATCCCTTGTATCACATACTTCTGGTGAGAGTCATTAAAATGTTTTAGGTTGCCTTCCTCCAGCTTTTTTTTCTCCTTTCCACAATTTTCTGAGTCAAAAATTATAGAACATTCTACCATTGTATCTACCTTATAGCCACAATCTTCCTTATATCAATCTCTGGCCTAAATTTTCACAGTGGAATGGCATATTTTATCTTTACTATTGGAAAAATTCTCCCATTTGGTCCACCAAGCCTAGCCTTGAGATAACCAGAAACAAATACGTATTTTACTCGTTAAGAATGACTTAAAACCTAACAACTTGCTTAAAAAATCTATATTGTCTATTGAAAATCATATATTATGTAACTTTTAAATATTTTTTTAGTAATTACCTAAATCCTCAGCATTAAGGTACCTTAAATTGGTTTTATACTCTGAAAGTCACAATCTCTCAAAATATTATCTTTCATTACATAGATATTCTACCCTACAAACATAATCATGCTAATTTCCCATTAAAGTTTTTCAATAATTTCTCATTCCTTAAAATCATTTTAAAAGTTTCCCAGACGAGGTTATTTCTGTGTGGACTTCTGTGTGAAGCCCCCACTTCCTCTTTCTTTATTCTCACACTTTTCTTTTTAAATACCTACCTTTCCTGATTGCTCTGAAATTTCCATGTCCAGTATATTGTCCTGGAAACAGATGAGTAATAAACGTTTGTGAGAGTTTTAGTATATTTCCGTTATACATCAATGAATTACTTTGCATAGTTCTTTTTGAGATCTGTAAATCTGGGAATATTCTGAAAAACGAACCCACTGTGTTTGGGTTGGCAATATCCATTTCCAGTTACAGGGACCTAGAATTCTGAACACAAGAATTTTACAAGAGAGTGTCGTATCGTCATCTCTTGACAGGTAATAATTTACTCTTTCCTTAGCGATACCCTACTTTAACACCATCTTTTCAAACTCAAAAAGGAGATCCATCTTCTTTAAACCCAAGTTCATAATGAGGACATTTCACTGTACAGTACCCAATTATCTTTCAGATTTTTATCCATTTGCAATTACGGCAGGTTCTCACAGGTTTATTTTACCTAAAGCTGGTCTTCCATTTTATGAGGCTTCAATTAACTACATTTAGTCGTGTTACGGCTAAGCGGATGTGACTAGAAAGGTAGCAGATAGCAATCTATATGTAAATTCTTTCTTTATTGGTTAACATTTATGTTTGAAACTGTTTAATAAAAAGGACCTTAATTTCCAACAAGCACACACAATACAAAAATGTGGGGGTGTTACTCTCTTTGATCAAGGTAGTAACAAGACTAAAAATTATTCCAAGAAAGCAAATGGGAACAGAGGTCAACAGGCTGTAATCTATGTCTATTTTATACGGAAAAACACTGCACACTCACTAAGTATACTGCAGAAGTTAAAATGCTATTAAAATGGAAAGCAACCCGCGTGCAAGATGAGGGTAACTCGAGGAAGCACAAGTCAGTCTTCATCTTGCACTGCGTAAGGTTCCTTCGCTTCCCGGAGAGCAGGGCTGTCCTCCACCCCTCCGTCAGCGTTCAGAACAATGCCTGCCCAGCGCGCGGTTAATGCGATCTGTTGAATGAATGAAGCGCGCGTGCCAGGCGGGCTGGAGAGCGGCCGCCACCCCGCACGTCTGCTGCCGTTCCCGCAGGCTGGCGTCGCCTCCTTGTCCTTCCCAGCAGTCAGGAGCCCTCGGGGGCGCCCCTCGCTCGGGGTGGCCACAGCGCCGTCCGCACGGCGCGCACCCGCAAGTAACCCGCTCCTTCCCGCACGGCGGCTGCCGCTTCTGAGGCACGCGGGGCCGAGCGGGAAAGGGGGACCCGGGCTGCGGGGGGCGGAGGGGCCGCTGGCCCCACCCCCGCAAAAAGGGCCGGGTCCTTATTTTTCCGGTCTTTGATAAACAACCAACCTGCTCCCCCGGCCTCCCAGGGCGGGCGCCCCAGTGCCGACGCGGGCCCGCCCGACGCCTGGAG